CAAGCTCTCTGAGGTATCTCCATATTGATTTCCATAGTGGTTGCACCAGTCTGCACTCCCACCAACAATGGAGAAGGGTTCCTTTCTCCCCACAACCCCACAAACATTTGTTATTGTGTGATTTCTTGATAGCAGCCATTCTTTGTGGGGTATGGTAGAATCTCAGTGTTGTTTTCATCTGCATCTCTCCAATGACCAGTGATGTGGAACATTTTTTCATATATTTACTTGCTGCTTTTACTTCGTCTGAGAAATGTCTGTTCATTTCAGATGCCCATTTTTGAATTGGGTCTTTATATTTGGGGTGGGCTGATTGTTTTGAGTTCTTTATATATTCTAGATAATAGTCCTTTGTCTGAGGAGCAGCTGGTAAAATTTTTTTCCCACATTGTAGGTTGTCTCTTAGTTCTGTTGATTTTTTATTTTTTTTATTTTTATTTTTGGTACCAGAGATCGAACTCAGGACCTTGTGCTTGCAAGGCAGGCAGCGAAACCACTGAGTTAAATTTCCAGCCCTAGAAGCTTTTTAATAAGATGAGATCCCAGTTGTTGATTCTTTCTGCTAGTTCCCGTGCTACTGAAGATTTGTTCATAAAGTCTTTTCCTACGCCAATGTCTTCAAGAGTTCTACCTAACTTACCTTCCAGCAAGTTCAGTGTTTCTGTTTTAATATTTAGATCTTTAATCCACTTGGATTTTAATTTAGTGTATGGTGAAAGATAAGGGTCTAGTTTTAATCTTTGACAGGTTGAAATCCAGTTTCTCCAACACCATTTATTAAAGAGGCTATCTTTCCTCCAGTGGGGATGGTCAGCTCCTTTGTCAAATATGAGGTAGCTGAGTACATCTGAAGTTATTTTTGTGTCTTCCAATCTGTTCCACTGATCCTCAGATCTGTTTCTTTGCTAGTATTAGTACCATGCTGTTTTTATCACAGTGGCTTTGCAGTATAGTTTCAAATTGGGAATTGTTATACCCACTGCTGTGTGTCTGTTGCCTAGGATGGCTTTTGCTATTCTAGGTCTCTTATGGTTCCAAATGAATTTTTGGATTATTTTTTCTAGTTCTGTGAAATATAGTGTTGGAATTTCAATTGGCATTGCATTGAATCTGTATAGCAGTTTTGGCAGTAAGGCCATTTTCACTATGTTGATTCTTCCTACCCAGGAGCAGGGGATATCTTTCCATTTTCTTATATCCTCTTCGATCTCTTTATTCAGACTGCTGTAGTTTTCAGTGTAGATGTTTTTTGCGTCTTTTGTTAGATTGATTCCTAGATACTTTTCTTGGGTGCTATTGTGAAAGGAATTGTTTCCCTAATTTCTCTCTCAGTGAGACTGTTATTTGTGTACTAGAGGGATATTGATTTTTGGGTGTTGACCTTGTATTCTGCTACTCTGCTAAAAGTGTCCATTAAGTCTAGAAGTCTTTTGATGGATTTTTTGGGGGCCTTCAATGTAGAGTATCATATCGTCAGCAAATAATGATGGTTTAACGTCTTCCTTTCCTATCTTTTTTGCTTCAATTTCTTTCTCTTGTCTAATTGCTATGGCTAATGTTTCCAGAACTATATTGAGGAGGAGTGGTGATAGTGGGCATCCTTGTCTTGTTCCTGATTTTAACATGAAGGTTTTCAGTTTTGGGCCATTTAATATGATATTGGCTATTGGTTTTTCATAGATAGTCTTTATTAATTTGAGATATAGACCACCTATTCTACTTTTTTGCAGGATTTTTATCATGAATGGTTGTTGAATTTTTCAAATGCTTTTTCTGCATCTATCGAGATGAGTACTCCTTCCCTTTGAATTTCATTAAGGAATTTGAAAAATATTGCTGTTAGAACTTTGCTGATGTTCTTGTAGAATTCAGTGGTGAATCTGTTGGATTCTAGGTTTTTTTAAAATTGATGCATTTTCTTTTAATCATCAATTTCATTACTAGATCATTCAGGCTTCTTATATATTCTTGGATCAGATTTTATAATTAATATGTACCTAGGAGTTCTCCATTTCTTCTAGATTTTCCAATTTATTGTAGTACAGGTATTCAAAATAGTTACTAATAGTCTTTTGGATTTTACTAGTGTCCATTATGATTTTGTCTCCTTCATTTCTTTTTTTTTAATTCATTAAGCTTATTGGTCCATTTTAAGTGGACATTATAATCCCATTCTGTATAGGGAATTTGAACCTGTATATGATATGTCTTAGTTCTTATTGTTTTCCATTCCCTTTCCTCCCTTCAAGCCCTCCATCCCTTCCTATTCACAAAAGCTTTGTTTCAATTTTTTCTTCTTTTCTCATGTTTTTCCTTCTTTTCTTTCCCTCACCTCACTCCCAGCTCCCCTTCTCCTTTGAATATTTTCTTCCTATTTCATAATATGTATTATTCATTTTGGTCCTATTTATCATTTTGGTTTCTGACAACAGAGGAAATGATTGGACATTTACACGTGTGTCCTATTTATTTCACTTAAGAGTATGGTCTTGAGGTACATCCATTTAATTATAAATAAACCTAGTTTAGCTTTGTGGCTAAGTAGTATTCCATTTTAAAAATTGAGTTTATTGGTACATTTTAGATATACAGTACAGTTACATTCATCATTGGGATCTTGTACCTTTGTATGACTTGGTTCTTATATTTCCCCATTCCCCAGCCCTACCTTCACTACCTTCCACCATTCCCTGTTTACAAGGACATTGTTTCCAGGTTTTTCCTTTTCACATATTTTTCTTTCCCCTTTTTTAAACCTTGCCCCTATCCCTTCCACTTCCTCTACTCTTTTAGACCTTTTCTTCCTGTTATACAATATCAATTGTACATTTTGATCCTTATTTACAACTTTTAGTGTTTCACACCAGAGAAACTATTAAGTATTTACACATGTGTCTTGTTAATTTCACTTAAGAGTATGCGCTCAGTGTGCATCCACTTAGGTATAAATATCTCTAGTTTCTCATTCTTTATGGCTGAGTAGTGCACCATTTTTAAAAAATCCACATTTTTTCAATCCAGTCTCCAGTTGACAGGCAGTTGTGCTGTTTCAAAATTTTGGCTATTACAAACTGTGCTGCTATAACCATGGGTGAGCTTATATTGCTGTGGTTATGATTCTTTTAATTGTTTTGGGAAGATACCCAGCAGAGGAATATCTGGGATCAAGTTGTACTTCTAATTCTAGTTGTTTGAGGTATCTCCACATTGATTTGTACAGTGGTTGCACCAGTCTGCACTCCCACCATCAATGATGAAGGCTCCCTATCTTCCCGCAAACCCACCAACATCTATTATTGGTTGATTTCTTGATAGCCATTCTTTCTAGGGTGAGGTGGAATCTCAGTGTTGTTTTCATCTGCATCTTTCCAATGACCAATGATGTTGAACATTTTTTCATATATTTATTCGCTACTTTTACTTTTTTGTCTGAGAATTGCCTGTTCATTTCAGATGCCCATTTTTTGAATTTGATCATAATATTTGGGACATCTGAGTTTTTTGAGTTCTTTATATATTCTAGATAGTAGACTTTTGTCTGAGGAACAGCTGGTAAAAATTTTTTCCCACATTGTGGGTTGTCTCTTAGCTCTGCTGGTGATTTCTCTGGCATTGCAAAAGCTTTTTAAAAAGATGAGATCCCAATTGTTGATTCTTTGTGCTAGTCCCGTGCTACTGAGGATTTGTTCATACAGTCTTTCCTATGCCAATATCTTCAAGAGATCTACCTATCTTTTAGCAAGTTTAGTGTTTCTGTTTTAATATTTAGATCTTTAATCCACTTGGATTTTACTTGAGTGCATGGTGTAAGATATAGGTCTAGGTTTAATCTCTGACAAGTTGAAATCCAGTTTCTCCCAGCACAATTTATTAAAGAGGCTATCTTTTCTCCAGTAAGGATGGTTGGCTCCTTTGTCGAAGATCAGGTAGCTGAATATGTCAGGAGTTGCTTCTGCATGTTCTAATCTGTTCCACTGATCCTCTGGCTTTTTTGTTTGTTTGTTTTTTTGCCAGTACCTCACTGCTTTTATCACAGTGGCTTTGTAGTATAGTTTCAAGTTGGGGATTGTGATACCCCCTGCCATGCCTCTTGCCTAGAATTGCTTTAGCTATTCTAGGTCTCTTCTGATTCCGAATGAATTTTTGGATTGTTTTCTCTAGTTCTGTTGGGATTTTATTTTATTTTTTAAAATCTTCTTTATACAATCCAATCCAATAGCATTTGAGGTATTTCAAAGATTTAGCTATAAAGCTCTGCCACTATAAACATGCGTGTACATATATTGCTGTTATATGATGCTTTTAAGCCTTTTGGGAAGAAACCAAGAAAAGGAATAGTTGGGTCAAATGAAATTTCTAGTTTGTGTTTTATAAGGAATCTCCACTCTGATTTCTACAGCAGTTAACACCAGTCTACACTCTCATTAACAGTGGAGAAGGGTTCCCTTTTTCCCACAGCCCTGTCAGCATTTCTTATTGGTTGATGTCTTGATAACAGCCATTTTTTCTGGAGTGAGATGGAATTTCAGCATTATTTTCATTTGTGTTTAATGTGTGACCAGTGATGCTGAACATTTTTTCATATTACTTGATGTTTCTACTTTGTCTGACAAATACAGCATGGTACCGGCAAAAAAAAAAAAAAAAGAAGATTCCGAAACAATTTCAGAGATACTCAGTCACCCCATCTTTGAAAAAGGAGCCAAACACCCTCACCAAAGGAAAGGCAGCCTCTTTAATAAATGGTGCTGGAACAACTAGGTATCAAGTTGCTAAAGGTTAAAACGAGACCCCTATCTTTTACCAAAGCTAAAATCCAAATGGATCAAAGATCTAAATATTAAAACAGAAACACTAAACCTGATGTGTAGGGAATAGGGAAAGGGGACATTTGCGGAACGCCTGCAGTGGTTCCTGATCTCCTGTGAACCATGACTGTGCAAGGCAAATTAAAGAATAGACAGGAAATTACTGAAAAAAGACAGACACCTTGAATTTACCACCATTTACTGGGTTCATAAGGAGTAGCAGATGACTCAGAGTGTGGTACCAATCCTAGATGGATGAGGATCTTATAATTGGAGAAATGATCAGATATCTCAGATGGTGGTGGTAATCCTGCGAACATGAAGATTTTAGGTTGATAAGGAGTTTAAATTGATTAGGATGGTAAGATGATCAAAGCTGTTTTTGTTGGGCTAAGGTGGGCAAGTTTTCTGATTTCCACTCAGAGGAAGCCAGAAAGCCACCATTGGAGCTCTTAAAGAAAACATGGCATCATTCAACTTTTATAAGAGTCATGATGATAATTGTATGAGACTGTATTGAGACAAAGGCAGAAGGAGCAATCCTACATGTTGAAATGGATCATGAAGGTGGCTTGTATCAGGATGGAGGTGATTAGAATTAGATTAGCTAAAACTGTCAGACTCTGGATTTGTGTGAAGAGAAAGTTGATAGCCTGTATGGGTAACTGTGTGTAGTTAAGTTATAAGTTAAAATGATAATTCAATTATGCCTTCAAATATTTTGATTGGAATAACTGGAAAAAATGGAATTACCATTATGAGACTTTGTGCAGGGAAGATAAGGAGGAAAACAAGAGTTCCATTTTGAATGTGGTAAATTAAAGATGCCTCTTAGTTATCCAGCTGGAGTTGTTAAGTAAGCAATTTGAGTGTATTAATTTATAGTTCAGCAGCACGGCTTGGCTTAGGGAGGTACATCAGGAATTTTTCATAGATTGTCAGTGTTTAAAGTCATGCATTTGGAGATCACCTAAGGAGTGAACAGTAGATCAAGATCAAGAGAAGAGTACAAGGACAGAGCCCTAGGGCATGTCAATATTACATACAATGTTGCAAGGGCTAAAGGACAGGGACGTCTGCTGGAGTTATGTTTTGGAGCACACAACAATGGATAGTGTCCACTGTGTGAGTGGAATTGCATTTAGAAGACAGAATTGACAGTGAGAAGATAGAGTAATATAGTACAGAAATATAGAAATTAATTATGTCTGTGTTGATACAGAAAACCTTCTTTGGTGTAAAAATTTGACTTTTTGGGTGGAGTAATTAAAAACAATAATTATTAGACCTTATTTCTTTAATTGTAATTGGTAGGAGATAAAGAACAAAATAAAATTCCGTACTTTGGGGGCCAAGAGCTCAGAAGCTGGTGATAAAATTCCCAGAGAAAGAAAGCAGGGTGAAAATTCTATAGATGTCACAAAATAGGGGTGTAGATGTCCATCCAGCATCCCGATGTCCAGTGGGATCATCTGACAATTCTATTTCTAATTTTTGAGGAACCTCCTTACTGTATATTTCTACTGATTTCAGGATGGATTTTGCTAAATAGAATGAAAGGAAACAACAGCTTCCAGAATATGTGACAATAGGAGAATTTTTTTTTAACATATTCTCAGATAAGACCAATTTCCCAGATATTTACCAAGTGTGCCCTGAGCTGAGCCTATCCAATCCTGATCGACTTCACCTAATGAGAGATTCATTTCTTTGTTCAGTCTTATAAACGACATACTGCATACCTGGTCACTTTTTCTTGTCCTGTTGCATTTACCTTATAATTATCGAGCCCTTAGCAATAGCTAGAAGAGTAGCAGACTAGACAAAAAGTCTCTGTCCCCAGTGGAGCTCATGTTTCACATTTGAGCTGATTGTGTTCAAATTTCACAACTGCAAAATTAAAACTTTTGCAAGGGGATTCTGAAATAAATGACAGCTTGAATGCTTATCAACTCTCCAACTCCCAATTATTTCTCTGTCGAAGGAGGCAGCATATATACCCTGCTGCTCTCACAGGGGCACAGTTCTGGTATACTTGTGATTTCTCTAGGGGAAAAGTCATGCTTACTTGCTTGTGAAGAGTTCTGGGAGAGTTGCTGTGTCTTGCTAGATGTGGAAGACTTGCAGGAAAGTTGGAAACTGAGAGAGGGCTGCTTCTAAACTGAGGATGATCTGGACTGCCTCTCACAAGTTAATACCTGGTTTGTAGTTTTATTTTATAAACTATTTAGTGATTTTTCAAAATTATGTATCCCAGTAGAAGATGTATGGAGAAAAATGGAAAAAAAAAAGTGACATCAAGAGTAAGTTAGATGGAGCTGGGGATTTAGCTCAGTGGTTCCGACACCTGCCTCATAAGCACAAGGGCCTGAGTTTGATCCCTGGTACCAAAAAAAAAAAAAAAAAAAAAAAGAGTAAATTAAAAAATTTTGGGGCACCCAA